AATCAGCTATGTTTCTTACATAGGCGTAGAAGGGCTTTCCTGGGTGATCTGGTCCAGCCCTTAATTATAGTAATCAAACACATCATGGAATTCCCACACTATTCCCATAAATAAAATAAATGAGTTTGAATTCTGGAGCAAAAATGCATTGTACAGATTCTCTCATCAGAATAGTCCTTTTTTTTCTTTTTTTTTTTTGAAGACACTGTTACAAGATGACTGAGTTCCTCTCTCCCTACCAGCAAGCAGGAAGGGATGCATCCAGTATTAACCCCTTCACAGCTGCTTTCAAATCAGCACCGGTTTTTGGAAAGTGTTCTCTTATAACAAAGATGAAGGGAATACATCTAATACTGTGGTGACTGTCACCTTAGCACGCAAATAAATGCCCGTTTTTTAAAAAAGTTCAGTTTGTTGGGCTTTTTTTTAAATAACCCATAATAGTTTAGACACGTACAAATAGAAAATCTTGTAAGATTTTGCTCAACTTGGAAACAAAAGCTATTAACTACCTTGTGGGTGGATGAAAGGTTTGGGAACTGTTCCAAAATTGGCTGAAATCTATGTAATGACTATAACTGACTTTAAGTGAAGTTTGGGCCAATTCTGTAATGTCTACAGCCAGGTTCTATCCCTGGAGGACACCTGCTCAGACTGGAAGATAAGCTTTTCCTGTAGTAAAAGCTTCAGTCTACATAGAACCTGCTGTGGGGGCATCACTCCTCCACAGAAGCAAAACTGATTAGGTTGGTTGACCCCATTTTGTCCCTATGGGCTTATCACTTGCTTGCGTCTCTTAGCACTGCTCCCCTCCCATGCCCATCTCTTGAATTCAAACCACTATTTACAGGCTGTTCTGTGCATGTCCCTTCACACTATCTGATGAAGCAAGCTTGGGCTCACAAAAGCTTATCATCCCTGATTGGGTTAGTCTACAAGGTGCATCTCTACTCTGCTTTCTGCCTGACTTCAAGCTAGCTACCTTTCTCTATAAAGGGGGGCCATACCAAATGAGTCCTGTGTGAGGGAGATGGTAGAATGGAGATGTGTTTGGGGAAGGGGGAGAGGGCCTCCAGCCTCTGGCACTGATTGGAACAGGGCCAGGACATTGCTGGGAAAGGTGGGGTTAGGTGTCACTACCACAAGCCAAGTCAACCATTTCCTCATTAGATTCAGTGCTTTGGATTTCACAGCCTATAAGGGGTATGCATCAGAAACTGGGAGAACATCTGTTTACCAGGGCACCCCAAAGGAAGGCAAGGTCTAACAGTCAAAGTGCTGGAAGACGGTTTTAGACTTGACATAAGGAAAAATTTCTTTACTGTCCGTGTCTCCAGAGTCTGGAATAGACTCCCCTCCAGAAATGGTGCAAGCATCTACTCTGGATACGTTCAAGAAACACGTGGATGCTCACCTTGCTGGGATCACCTGACCCCAGCAGACTTCCTGACCTTTGGGAAGGGGGCTGGACCTGATGATCTCACAAGGTCCCTTCTAGCCCTATCGTCTATGAAATATTTGCCATATAAAACTGCATCAATTGCAGGGCCAGGGAAGGGTTAAACTGACTCTTGCCAGCAATGCTTCTCTCTGCAGTGTTCTGGTGCCACTCTGCCGTCCTCTGCTTAACTTCAGACTAACACAGCTAACTACCTCTTGTGTTGTGCGTACAATTTCAGACTTTTTTTTTTTTAAACAATCTAGATCTTACCATCTTCTAGCATTGTTTCTCAACCAGATCCTTTAAAGGATCTGCATGGTATTAGCACAATTAGATATGCAAACACCTACATGGATTCACCAGGGAAACCCAGAGATCTCCAATAGGAACACCATGTCAAAAACATTCTGACCTGTTGTGCTCTGAGTTCTTTGTAAAAGAAGAATAGCTTTATTTTTCCATAATCTAAAAATAAGTGAAGGCTGAGAGCTGGCATTTTCTCAGGGGTGCCCCAAATCAGAAAGGTTGAGAATCATGGTCTTACAGAAAAAACTAATTCATCCTTGAATGTGTCGTCCCATTCCGTTATCCTCTCTGGTTAACAGTTTCAATTCACTCAACATACAGATATTATAAGTAACTTACAAATTCTCTCTCGCGCTGATGTTTTTCCTCAGCTTCTTTTATAAGCTGTGTGGTTTGCTGCAGTTTGGCATCTACTAGTTGTTGCTGCAATTCTTTATGCTTGAACACTTTGTCAATATGCTAAGCAAAAAGTAAAAACTAATGTTAGTTTGTAATGGATCCTCCATAATTAAACAAACAGCAGCTTTTTAGTGGAAATAAATTACCTAGGTATTATCCTTCAAGATATATATATATTTTTTTATGTGGACTGTGGCTGTTTACACTCATGTTTTATTTTCATGCTGTTTCTTTGCATTAGACTTAGGACTTCAGGAATCACCTTTTATACAGGGGCATTAGTTACAATAATTTGTAAAACTGGCATGAAGTTCCTGCTGCTTGTGCATTATATGTTTCAATAATCCTTATGTCAAGAGACAAAGCCATGTGATATCTAAGGCCTCATGGACTCTACTCAGAAATACAGCCTCTGACTTTAGATTTTATTTCACTCTTGCTTTATGTGCTTCTGAGAAACTAACATGGATTGGCATACCCTAACATGGACGTGCCAAATGTTATGACTTTGTAAGTCTTTTAATACTTGGCTTTTCTTTAAGCTCTGGCTTTTAGAGTCAAGTGATTACAGAAGAATCTGAGTTTTCAATCTGAAAAATGTTTGTAGCCCTCACAGTTGAGAACAACATGAAACAGGACTCAAACAGACTTTAAAACCTTAAGTGACCTGAGGACAGGCACTTTATGTCTGAAAATTTGTTCATCAACTCTCCCACCTATACATTTGATCTAATATAACATTTTTGTGTGATTGATAATGATGTCAAGGAAGAGAACATCTCTGAAAAAAAATACATGAATCCTTTGGGCTTTACTAAAGATCCAGGAGATCCTAAGAAAATGGCATGGGAATTGAAAGAAGATATTCTGGGCTAAACAGCCATGCACTTTTTTATTAGGACGGCTGATACTGAAAAAAACAGTGGTTTGTAATGACATGTATGAATTACATCTACCTATGTAACAGTACAGACAATATTAACACATCATTACTGATTTTTTAAAAAGCGCCATTTAAATGAGTTAAGGGAGCTAATTAAGTGTATGCAGAATCACTGCTTAATTACCTCTTCCCGCAACGCATACTGTTCAATGAGTTTTTTCAGTTTTTCCCCCAGTTCAATATTTTCTTGGCGGAGCTTGGCATTGTGTATATCATGCTGTTCCAGCTGAGCCTGAATTTCATTCAGTGTAATCTGGAAATGTGCAGTTGCTTCTTTACGTCTTTCTTCTTCTTCACGTGCTTGCTGCACGTTTTCTTCCTTTTTTATGCAAAAGAATTTGTTAACAGGCAAGTTAAAACTGACGCATCCTTATAATTAGTTTTTTGAATAAATGCTAGGGGTGGGTCTAAGTAGCTCTACGTGCTGGGGTGTTTAAATATAAATACAAACTTTGCCAAGCTGAATTAGTTGAACATTGCAAATTAGGGGCCTTAATTTATCTTCAATTCATTAATTTAGTGATTTTCCACCCGGGTGCTAGGGCACCTAGGCATGCTACCAGATCCTTCTGAAGGATGCCCCAAGGTGTGAGGAGGTAAACAGATAAGAGCAGGCTCTGTAAGGGGGAAAGCATTGTAATAAATAAGCTGTTTTTGAAATGGGGAGCCTCTCAATTCACAAGTTATGGAGGGGTGCCTCAAGTCTAATGAGGGGCACCTTGAGTCCACTGAAGAAGGTTGAGAACCACTTCACTACCTTGTTTTAAATATTTTTTGGTTAATAATAAATAAAGCTCTGAAGAGATGTTGGATTATTTTGTACTTTTCAACTTTTCTAAAACAGATATTGATGAATGACTTGAAAAGCACTCATTTATCTCTACAGCTTGAAGAAGTAAGTTTGAGGCTATGTAAACAAAGGGAGTACCTGGCTGAAATGCCAAAGCTTATTCTCGGTAGGGGTAAGACCAGTAGCAATCAGCCAGGATAGAAGGAACCCTTCCTTAGTATATTTGCTATAAAAAAAATGAATGGTTTGAAACAAAATTTGAGAAAAGAATATAATTTAAAAATAAATTTATGCTCCACGAACAGATTCCCTGCAGATAATCGCATAAAGAAATCTCATTCCTCTTTTCTATTACAGCAGCTGTATTTTGGCTGGATAAAAGCTTTGTTAGTACCTTGTCACTGGGAGCCACAAATGTGTGTCCCGGACACTAATATGACAAAAATAAACAATGAAGCCATCTAAATTAATAGGTGAACTATGAAACAACCTATGCAAGCAATATATCTTGTATAAACTGACCAATCCCCATACCTCTATACCTAAAGGCCAACTACACCTATGGATCTTACCCATTATTCTCTATGGATGTAGGTACTGGCCATTGAACATGAACAAACAGCAGTTGTCAAGTGTGGATTTTACATAGTAAACAGCAAACAGCTTTATCTTCAAGCAATTTATACCAGAGCTTAGTGGGTGAGGAACACATGCCCCATGGGCTCTACTAGTGGGGACAACATTGCACAGGCCATACCAGGAAAAGCCATGGGCCACTGGGTCACACCACGAGGAGACCCTCTGTTGCATGACACAGGTGCCCCTCCTGCTGCCCCACTGAGAGTTTCTGGCCTCACCCTCTGCTCCCTGCACCTCGCTGCTACACACCCTGGGCCAAGTGCAAAACACAGGAGGGAGGAGGAGCCTGGAGACTGCAGCTTAACTTGGCCTGCAGGCAAAGAATTGAACAGCCCTGGTTTACAAAAATAAACTAACCTTTAAAGTCTTGTTATGACGCTGAAGCTCCCGGCAAAGAGATTCCAGTTTGCTGCGTGCAAGAATAGCTTTGCTATGCTCACTCTGCAAATGAACTTTCTCTTTCACAACCTGGGCTTGTTTCTTCTGAAGTATCTTCATCTGCTTTTGGACATTCCGGCTTTCCTCCAACTAAAGTTAGACAGTATATTTAAGTAAGTGGACTTGAGCAAGCCTCTTTCTCTGCCCAGTCAAAATAGCTGATGCTACAATTAAACCAACTGGAAACAGTTTCCGAGAAGAGCAGTGAAATCAAATGGAGAGAGTCATTAAGAATACTAGACTAGACTAGTGTAAGATGTTCTTATTATAGAAATTGGGAAATTTCATAGATTACTCTAAGGATGTGTAAGAAAACTTTCCTATTTAAAGACTACAAACATTTATTTCAACTTACCAAATTTTCTCTCTGAGGAACAAACTCCACAGATCTATTAATAGGCTTTCAGTATGCATAAAGCTATAAAGGCAACATTATGTCTCATGGGGGAGGATGTGGCTGGGTACAGGAAGAGCTTACCATTTAGGACAGCATCCATAAAATAAAGTATTCTGATCAGTGGAGCGAAAATGTCAGCAAACTTACACACATCGTAGTCATAAACCAAAACCTGACTGCAACCTAAATTTGAAGGGACCATAACAAGGCTCATACTGGCTAAAGATCACAGCAAACAAGGGATACTGGATTAGAGAGCAAACTCAGAAAAAAAAGAATTTTTCAGAAAGCCAGCATAAATGTTTCTATTCTCGTGTCTACAGGATTTAGAGAACGTTTAGCCAATAGAACTAAAATGGCTCTTGAAATGCCAATACAAGTCCTTTCTGTTACTGGGAGATCAGTGTGAAATATCCTTTCATTGAAGGTATCCACAGTTGATACCTGAAAGTCCAGTTTGTAAAATGTTAAATTGTGATAAGGTCACGCATGTGACCAGGCAGCTATTATACAGATACTTATCCATAGTTAGCTGTATGCTGGATAAGACGGCTCAGTCCACAAGACTGCTGTTACCACTGCACATCTTTAGCCCTCCATTATATATAGGCCAAACACCCCAGTCTTTCACCATCACTACAAAGGTCTGTCAGCAGTGTCTTCTTCACCTGCACGGAAGTCATGCATCTCCTGGATAAGCATCCAGAAATGTTAAAGGACTACTTCTTAAAGTCATTCTATCACGTTCGGGGGGGGGGGAGGAATAGCCCTGTTTCAGTGTCGTAGGACACTCATGCCTATCATTGGTTTATCTGGAAAATGTACTTAAAACAAGCAGCCAGCAAGTACCCTCCTGTTTCTACCAGCATTTGTTTTCTCTGAGTTTTAGTTACCCTCCATAGGGAGATACCAGCCAGAACAAGAGTTCACAAGGAATTCTTAGCATGCTGCTTACCCTTTTGGATCAACCTGAATCCCCCACTCCCAGGGATCACGCAGCCCAGAGTAACCATACGGCCACAGGCCCAGTAAGCTCATGGCAGCAGCAGCAGCACACATTTGTACCAGCAAATTAAACAGCACGCTAAATGGTTTATAGGATCTACTGCCTATAGCAAGGCTACAGGGAACAACTTGAAGGAATTTCCATTGTTCTGTTTGTGCTGGGATACTTTGTGCAGTAAGTCTTACATGCTCCTTATCTTCATTAGACACATCTGCAGGATGTGTGGCTTTAAGCAAACCATCATTGGTGGTATCTGCATAGATGACAGCTAAGAGGCAGCAAAAGAGGATCTCTAAAAAAGATACGTTTGCAAAGCTAATGAAACATTGATACAGCTGAAAGAAACTAGCATTAGTGGGTGCTTTGGAAGCAACACAAAGAGAGGAAGGGGAAAACAAACATGCACAAGGAATTTTTGTAATTGAGGTAGCAGAGATGCTGGAGAAACCTGGCCTCTCTCCAACCTATGGAGAACTCACTTACAAGGAGTAGCACACCTGCTGCATTACAGGTACCTGCACTACTTCCCTCCACATCAGACATAACACTTGAAGTTGAGAAGTGGGAAAGAAATTTTTAAGTGTACCTAGAACAGCTTGGAGGCTGTGTAGTACAAATCATATCAAACTGTGCTATCACTGAGGACCTGAAAGCTGTCAGCCCAAGATTTAAGATGGCACTGATGCATGCTTAGGGATTCTTTCAGGCTGACAGAACACAGCCTTGCCTATGACCATTGTACCTGGCTGCTTAGTCTCAGCAGATAGCTGCTTCACCTTCCTTTGCTACCCTGGCAGAAGGTTCCCCCTTTGCCCTCACATAACAGATTACAATTACGAGGGTCAGTCCAACTAATGTTCAGTTTGTTACTAATCCTTAGACCCTTCTGTATAAGAACAGGGTATCACTGTGCACCTCCACACTGCAAAATTAAACTTCTCCTTGGTGCTGCCCAGAATGGCAGTGTATAGCTACATGGCATCAGAAGATACACCTGGGTTTCCTACTGGCATTCTGAAGTCCCCTATTCAGATGTGGCAATTGGAAAAGAATATCCTCACAGCATTTTGAAGAGGCCCATAAACCTGAATATGTGAGCATTAGACACCTTTTCTGACCAGACAATACAGAGGCCATTTCATAGGTATTGATGATGTACCACCCAGCATCATCATGAACAAATCCACTCTCCTGTTACTAAATTCAGAGGCTAGGTGGATGTATAGAGACAGAACAGGTATGAGTTTACAATCCCATCAGAGATCCAGAACCACCACTGTAGATTTCCATATTGTTTCCTCCACTTTGCTTAGAGCCCAAGGTCTCTGCAGGATGACAGGACTGATGGCATCTCTCAATGCTCAGTCCTAACAGCCACACTTATAAAATTCTTAACAGTTATTAGTTTTCTACTTAGCAGGAGGAGTCTGGGGGTCAGGTTCTACAATGCTTTGAGAGTCAGAGCCAATCTCCTCCTAATTATTTGCTACAGTTTCCACTGATTTACACCTGCCCAGTACCATACAGGTAGCACACAGACAAAAGCATGGAGGGAATCAGAAAGGATGACTCAATCACACTAAAGCCCTTTGGAACTCTAGCCACTAGTAGGGAAGGACATTGTGGTGAATTGCAAACATTCAAAATCAGAGGGAAAAGACTTGAAAGCCAAAGAAGCATGAAGGGAAGGAAATTCTACTCATCTAATAATGCACTTCTCCCTGCCTCATGCTAGGGCAGACCCTACTGCAAATGCCACTGGGATGTCTTCCTATGGTATACTGTGGGTTCTGCTTGCGTTGGGTGTGCTGTTACTAGCAGAAGTACAGCAATGAACACACCCTTTCATTAAGTTAGCTGTTGTAAGTTGACATTTTCTATGCTTTTTGGATGCTCCATCTAGAGAATCTTAAAATAGTAGGTTTTGATGCCATTTCTTTGAGATGGTGGAAAACAGAGCACACATTTAGTCAAACAACACAGACCTTGATGGTTTTATGTATATCTAGGGTATGCCAGAACTTCCTGGACAAGGTGCTGTTGCACAAGGGAGTATAATTTCTTGGGTTCTGTAAAATAACTACATTAAGTACTGGAAAAAGGCTGATGTGTTTGAAGAATCACCATAAAACTATGTAGAGTGTGCTACATTATTCTTCAGTAGATAATACTCCAAGCTCTTACACTTATAGGTGGAGACTGATAATGAGGAAAGCTGCCCAATAGGGAAAAGACATACCAGGATTCAAAAAGATGCTAGGTCAAAGCATTAAAAGCTGAATACAGGTCTCATGGCAAATTGTGATCAATCTTCAGAGGATGAAGTAAAGATGTAATTCTAAAAAAGGAGTTTGATATTCCAACATAAAAAGATTCTCTTCTTGCCTGTGGCCGAGTCGGATAGTACAAGTATTGGCATTTTAAAAAACTGAATTTGTGAAGCCCTTGATCAGACATTTGTATAAAATCCAGCACATGTGGTACAAGCTGTGATGGAGGTACACAGTTTCTTGCATCACTACTTGAACTTCTGCCAGGTCCCAAAATAGAAAAGAAATGAGGAAGGTCTTACACCAGCAAAACAACAACAACAACCACAACCACACCTTCCAATAATTCTTTTTCACATGACATTACACAACAGCCAGGTAGTTAACCTAAGCTGCCTTGGCTACATTATAAAAATCAGTCACTGGGAAAGCAGATCCTATTGTAAAGGGAGAACAATGGGAATCAGAATAAGCCATTCCGAGAAAAACAGGAAACATGATCTGTATCTGTTCCCTGTTCCTCTGGACAGTTCTGGGGAACTAGTAGGGATGTAAACAGTTAAATAATAATTATATTTATATCCTTTTCCATTTAGTGACCTCCATCAAGAACAGCTCTGGCCACATATGGCTTCACTGTGTGCCCAGTGCTGCCTGGACTCCAGGCTGCTGGTGGGGAGCTGTGGGCAAGGGGTGGCAGATGTGATTGAGACAGATTGCCCAGTTGCAGAGCCACAGCTTCCCCTCACTGCCATAGGCAGGGGCTGGGAATGTGGACATGTCCTGTGCCCACAGCCTGCCACCATGAGCAGGGAGGAAGGCAGGTGCCAGGCTCCCCCACAGGGGTCAGATGGGTGCTCCCCATCATAGTAGCCCCACAGGGGGTCTACCTGCTCCTCCTGCAGTGGTAGGGCCTGAGTAGGACAGAAGGCTCCCTGCGCCTCCTACTGTATTCATGCCACTGTGGCCTGGACCTCGGAGGCTACTCCAATGCTACCACACCAGCCC